TTACCTTTTTTGTGTTCGAGCTCTGTGTCTCCTCTTTGCTTCCTCTCCGGTTTTTGGGTGGCCTCGGAATTGAAAATGGGAAATGAAATGAAACAAGCCAAGCAAGCCTATTTCTCCAAGTTTCTTTCTTACAAGCCTCTCTGGCTTCAAATAAATCTCTCCTTTTTTATATTACTGAATTAATGCCACAGGGTGGGCCCGTGGGGCCGGCCCCACTTGCTCCTCATGACCTCTTTCGTCCTTCCATGTGGACCAGAGCTGCAAGCTATGTGCTTGGCTAGCATTTTACGTGCACTATTTGTATTCCCCTTTTCTTTGGGACTTTGAAGTGTTATTTAAGGATATGTCGTTGAATTGTCACTGTTACTAATTTATAGTTCACACATGCATGTCTTCAGATATTTTTCTTGTAATAACTCTCGAGAAATCCAACGGATTTATAGTTTAAGTGATTAAAAAATATTACTTTTGTACTCGAGTTTTTAAGTTTGATTTCCCTTCACTCATTTTACTCTCGAACCTCCAAAATCTTAAAACTCACCCTGAATATTAGGCTGAACATGTATGTATTAAATACTCCCGTTTCATATGAGCTTTTTAGTTATATGGAAAGATATCATATGTAAACCAATTATATTATTTGTGTAATATACACGTATATCCATATTTTCACCTACTAAAAATTAATAATATTAAAATATTATGTAACGGCTGAATATTTCACATAATGTACGTGTTCAGTAGTTTACTTAACGCAGAAGATTTCATTTAGTATTCTAGATGAAACCTGGTAGGGAAGTCATACATCTCCGCCAGCACAGGCAAGATGAAACGCGTGGATGCAATTTTGTTTATATAATTAATGAATATAGGTTCTTGACTCTTCAGCACGTTGTCACACTAATTCTGGTTGACTTACAGCCAGAACGAAGCATATCTGCACTAACAAGACAAGTTCCCTCATCTTCCTCATGGTCTCACAATCTCCATTCATGTCTCCAACCTCGTCATCTATTGGTTTTTTTGTTTCTCTTTGAGTTCGTTGATGAATTAGTGATGAGACAACCCCAATACAAAAATGGGTTCAAGCTTAAATTGAATAGAACTCATTGAACAAAAATAAACCTAAATCATGCCAATTATTTTATTCGGTTTGGTTTTTTATTTTAAGATTAAATTAGACCGAGCTGAATTATGTCCACCCCTACTATGGAGTCTTTATTATGTATTTTGTTGATTCTTTTAATTGTGTATATTCATACGTGAGTTAGGTCAATTGGACAAGAGAGTGAGCCTATCATGTTGCTCCCAAGTTCGAATCTCCTTCCTATAGATTAGATTAATTTAAAGTAGTTTAGATTATCGTTTATATAAAATAAAAAAAATGCCAATAATTAATTTAAAAATAAAAAATAAAAATAAAAAGAGAAAGCCTTAAGATTGATCTCATGTTTCGTCCACGAAAAAGATTGATGTCACGTGAACTCTCCGTGACATCTCACAGCCACTCGACTGCTCCGTCACTTTAACAGGCTTAGCACAAGGCCAGTAGAATTCTGATTCCGAGTAGTCTTAAGAAAAGCGCTTCAGTGTCCAGCGCTTGAGATCCGAACCATCAATGGCGTCAAGCAAGACTTTACTATCAGCAACAGCCGCAGTTATATTAGCAACGTCTCTCTTCTGGACCTTAACTTCGTCTTCATCATCGCCTTCTTCGGCCGACTCTATCGCCTTCATCAAGAAGACCATCGATTCCAACAAGATCGCCATCTTCTCCAAGTCCTATTGCCCGTATTCTCATCCACTCTGTTTCCTTTCATTATTTCTTGTAAATTTGCATGCACATCATCTGTTTGACTTAATTCAGACCCATTTCCTAATTTCATTTAAAAATAATCTGGAATAGAATAAATCTTCGATTGATTTATGTAGAATGAGGCCTTTATTGATTTTGTTGCCATTGAAGGGCTTCTGGGTTTTAAGGAAATGACTATTAAAAATCAAATTTTGGGTTTTACACAATGTTGTCTGTGATTTAGATTGAGCTTGTATACATTAAATTCGTTTTTTTTTTCCCTAATTTTTTATTTATTTGGGTAATTTGCAGGTACTGTAAAAGGGCAAAAGCTGTTTTCAAAGAGTTGAACCAAGTACCCTATGTAGTTGAGCTTGATGAGAGAGGTATAGTCACTTAAACCTTACTGATTCTTTCAAACTGTGCATGAAAAGACATAAAAAAGTAAGGAGCTTGTTGCTGAAATATGTGATTGGTGCAAAATTGACTTTATGGTAGAAACCAATTTGATGAAATGACACCTAATTAGAGTAGTAAACTTGTTGTTGAGTTGTATGAAGGTGCATTAATTGTTCAATCTTATAACTACTAGACAGTACAAGCTGGCATGAACTTCCAGATTTTGTGCTTAGAATTTGCTTTTCAGGATTGCAGGTTGTGAATGTGAGATATTAGCTTGAATTTGCATTCAGGAGAATAGTTTGCGAACTCAAAAATGCTTCTTGTAGCAGCACCCTTTTGACAGCTTTGTGCAGTTTTCTTTGAAATTTGAAGGCGTATATGCCTGTGTTGTGTGCATATACATGTACCATTTCCACTATTAGTTATTGATTGGAGATGGCAATGTGTTTCTTTCAGCTGACGGTCGAGATATCCAAGATGCTTTAGGTGAGCTTGTTGGGAGGCGTACTGTACCACAGGTGTGGGTGAAGGGAAAGTACATTGGGGGCTCAGATGGTAACTGGTTTTCCTTTCAAAATATTTTGTGTTCATTCTCTTTGTTTCTGGAAAGTTGATTAAACCAGGGAATTGCTAACAACTGATAAATATGCTGTTTTTTAGATACTGTTGAAGCATATGAAAGTGGAGAACTGGCAAAGCTTCTGGGCATTGAGGTCCAGCATAGGGAGGATCTTTAAATTGAATCATCAATGATCAGAAACTGGTAGCTGAATTCGTAGAGAAGTTGAATGTAGTGCTCATGAAATAACTCCTATTACATGCGGGGGAGTATGGCAATCACTTTTGCATTTAGCTTGTTTTTGTTTTTTTTTTTTTTTTTGGGATTACTGTATTTTAGTCTTTTACAGAGAATGATCTCTTGGATAAAATTGTACTTGTAGTTGATGGACTGCTGTCTGCCTCTTCACCTCTACTGCGATTTGAACGTTATATTTGTATTTCAGTATAACATTTTCCTCTTTTTTTCCTCTTGGATAAAATAGTCACATTGGCACTTACTGAGACTCGTGCTCCTGTCTACTAAACATCAGACTTCCACTTAGATGTGGCACCAAGTACTTGGGTTACCTTCTCTTAGCTTGTATTATGCCTAATCGCGGAGCAAAATCTTAAAACAATTTTTTTTGGCCAAGACCAGAATGTGATGTGAAATTGGTACTTAGGTGAAGGGGGGTAAATCTAAATGCTATTCAAGCAGACACTACAATCTTTACACACTTTGAACCTTAACCAAATATATTTATGATTGGTCAACTGTTAGTCATGTAAAATCATAACCAAGAACACACACACAAATCATAACAATCTGTACCTGCAAACTTAGAAGATTACTGGTGGCAACCTAGGCACTCAGAAGGATTTGTAAATCTAGGAATCATCTGTGCTAGCAACAACTATGGTGAACGTGTGTGAAAACATCATACTCAAGTAAACAACAAATATCATATAATGATGACTCATCAACCGCAAGAACACAAACCCAGAAATGCATAAACATTATGCGATGACTAGTCAACTATCAAGAACACAAACCCATAAAATAACAAAGCTGCAACCCAGAAATCCACCATTAAGAAAATTTGAGGGTCATCAACTGACTAGGCAATCTACTAAGCAAAGAAGATTCTTACAAAGGAAAATAAGCAAGCTCAAGAAATCCTAGATCTGTTTAGGAAGATAAACTATTCATCATTTGTGCAATCTTCTTCTCTAACTTAGCAAAACCAGTAGTTTAGTCCTTCATGGCAATGACAACTTCTTATTCAGCTCTTTCATCCTATGACACTAGCTAGCCAACTCAAACTCAGACAGAAACCAAAATTTGGATTCAAGGAAAAATGACAAATTTCTTCAAGAAACCATACTCTTGAAGAAATCAATCTTGAATATGACCTAGATGTATATGAAAGAACGTTTGTTTTAGCTAGATGCAGATTTCATATTTCAAAAGCAGTTTCCCAAAAATCAATTTAGAAAACTCATAGATGAAAATAGTGGTTTTCTCTTGAGGGAGAAAAAAGAGCAAAAGGATGAAAGAAACCTTCTCAAAACCTCACCTCAAAATTGACGGTTGCCAAATGAGGAATCATTTGGCTTTTATCCAAAAATTCTTAGGTCAAAATAGTACACATGGCAGTTGAGAAAATTCGCAGAATATGACAAAAAAGTTTGTTAGGACCCAGCTGGAAATCCTACTGATGCAAAGGATGACTAGTCATACGAAAACAAGATGACTAGTCATAATCTTAAGAAATCTAATGAATGTAATATGATGCAATGCACAAATGACCTTTGCCAATATGATTGATCTTCCATAAGATAGCAGCCAGATAAAAACACTTAGAGAAACTATTCTCAATCTAAACTTGAACTCAGGTAATTATAATGTATGTTATATTACAATATTGTCAAGGGAAGCTAAAAGAAAAACTCACAATGCATACACTTACATGATGTTTTAGAAAAATAAGATATGGTTTGACAAGACGAAACCATTTTATTTTTGTTTTCATCTCATGATCCGAACAGTTCATTTTGTAGGTATCATTCAAATGTCGCCCTTACAAAAAGATTAGCCAAATCAATAAATAAACACAATGTTTTTTTATAAATAAAAAAATGCATATATTGTCTGGCTAATTTTGTTGAGAATGATAGAAAATAAAATGAAACATCACCAAATAAGTAATGCATGCCCAAAACAAAACAGGAAAAGAGAAAAATAACTAAACGAACAAAATAAGCAAAGCAACGAAAGGTCTTTTGTTGCAGTTTGTCAAATCCATCGTCTTTTGAACAAAAATGAAGAAGCATTACAGCAAAAGAAAAAGGAAACCGAAATCCGATGACATTAGCGACGACGCCGCTTTCGCTGTCGTACTGGCAGCTCTGTCGTCTCCAAACCCCAACTCCCTCCGACCCTTAATCAAGAAATGCCTGAACAAACTCCGAAACTCCCTCACCAATCCCATCCTCTCTCTTCTCCCAGCTCTCCTCACTTTCAAGTCCCCCACCATAGCTTCCCGTGCCGCCGAGATGGTGGGGTCCGCCGCCCTCGAGTCCTTGGACATGAACCAGAGGATTTCTTCCGATGCCGGCATCATCAATGGCTTGCTAGCCGCATTGGGTAGCTCCAAAACCAGACTTCCAGTGGCTGCTTGCCATGCCCTTTTGGATTTGTGCACTACTTCAGTCGGACGACGTCGTTTTGCTCATTCATCTGCACTTCCCAGGCTTCTGTGAGTATGCTGACACTTATCTCGCTTTCGTTTGTTTTTCTTGTTTTTCAATTACTTGACTTGACATGTGATAGGTTCTTAGTTTTGGGTTTCTTCAGGTTCATAAATCTTCAATGATTTCAGTGTCCTTGTGCTCTGTCTCTGTGTATAGTGAAGGTATTACCTCTCTGAATGTTGGGTTTGAGGAAGATGAACTTCCAGTTCTACTTCTTAATGCTGCAATCATTCTCATCAACACCTGTAACATTGAACAATTGGAGAACATCCCAACAAACCTCTCCCAAGCTTTCTTTGGCTTTATGAGAAATCTGTGGGCAAAAGTGCGTAATGAGATGTTACTCAAAAACCCATTGGAGTCCGCACAAGGGGAAAACTTGTACATTAGCAACATTAGAATAAGTCATATGGCTGAAAGCCTGTTTAGGCTTTCCATTTGTGCTTCTCACCGTACCAAGCCTTTGCCCTTTCATGTGGTTGAAAGGGATATATTTGGTTTCTCTGAGTCTGGTTTTAAAGATTTCATGTCGAACCACTGGGAGGTGTCACCCTTTCTTGTGCGACGGGGGCTGTCACAAGGGGATTTAGTTGAGGTGGATGATATTTTTGGTCCATTTGTAAATTTCTTCAAGAAACCATACTCTTGAAGAAATCAATCTTGAATATGACCTAGATGTATATGAAAGAACGTTTGTTTTAGCTAGATGCAGATTTCATATTTCAAAAGCAGTTTCCCAAAAATCAATTTAGAAAACTCATAGATGAAAATAGTGGTTTTCTCTTGAGGGAGAAAAAAGAGCAAAAGGATGAAAGAAACCTTCTCAAAACCTCACCTCAAAATTGACGGTTGCCAAATGAGGAATCATTTGGCTTTTATCCAAAAATTCTTAGGTCAAAATAGTACACATGGCAGTTGAGAAAATTCGCAGAATATGACAAAAAAGTTTGTTAGGACCCAGCTGGAAATCCTACTGATGCAAAGGATGACTAGTCATACGAAAACAAGATGACTAGTCATAATCTTAAGAAATCTAATGAATGTAATATGATGCAATGCACAAATGACCTTTGCCAATATGATTGATCTTCCATAAGATAGCAGCCAGATAAAAACACTTAGAGAAACTATTCTCAATCTAAACTTGAACTCAGGTAATTATAATGTATGTTATATTACAATATTGTCAAGGGAAGCTAAAAGAAAAACTCACAATGCATACACTTACATGATGTTTTAGAAAAATAAGATATGGTTTGACAAGACGAAACCATTTTATTTTTGTTTTCATCTCATGATCCGAACAGTTCATTTTGTAGGTATCATTCAAATGTCGCCCTTACAAAAAGATTAGCCAAATCAATAAATAAACACAATGTTTTTTTATAAATAAAAAAATGCATATATTGTCTGGCTAATTTTGTTGAGAATGATAGAAAATAAAATGAAACATCACCAAATAAGTAATGCATGCCCAAAACAAAACAGGAAAAGAGAAAAATAACTAAACGAACAAAATAAGCAAAGCAACGAAAGGTCTTTTGTTGCAGTTTGTCAAATCCATCGTCTTTTGAACAAAAATGAAGAAGCATTACAGCAAAAGAAAAAGGAAACCGAAATCCGATGACATTAGCGACGACGCCGCTTTCGCTGTCGTACTGGCAGCTCTGTCGTCTCCAAACCCCAACTCCCTCCGACCCTTAATCAAGAAATGCCTGAACAAACTCCGAAACTCCCTCACCAATCCCATCCTCTCTCTTCTCCCAGCTCTCCTCACTTTCAAGTCCCCCACCATAGCTTCCCGTGCCGCCGAGATGGTGGGGTCCGCCGCCCTCGAGTCCTTGGACATGAACCAGAGGATTTCTTCCGATGCCGGCATCATCAATGGCTTGCTAGCCGCATTGGGTAGCTCCAAAACCAGACTTCCAGTGGCTGCTTGCCATGCCCTTTTGGATTTGTGCACTACTTCAGTCGGACGACGTCGTTTTGCTCATTCATCTGCACTTCCCAGGCTTCTGTGAGTATGCTGACACTTATCTCGCTTTCGTTTGTTTTTCTTGTTTTTCAATTACTTGACTTGACATGTGATAGGTTCTTAGTTTTGGGTTTCTTCAGGTTCATAAATCTTCAATGATTTCAGTGTCCTTGTGCTCTGTCTCTGTGTATAGTGAAGGTATTACCTCTCTGAATGTTGGGTTTGAGGAAGATGAACTTCCAGTTCTACTTCTTAATGCTGCAATCATTCTCATCAACACCTGTAACATTGAACAATTGGAGAACATCCCAACAAACCTCTCCCAAGCTTTCTTTGGCTTTATGAGAAATCTGTGGGCAAAAGTGCGTAATGAGATGTTACTCAAAAACCCATTGGAGTCCGCACAAGGGGAAAACTTGTACATTAGCAACATTAGAATAAGTCATATGGCTGAAAGCCTGTTTAGGCTTTCCATTTGTGCTTCTCACCGTACCAAGCCTTTGCCCTTTCATGTGGTTGAAAGGGATATATTTGGTTTCTCTGAGTCTGGTTTTAAAGATTTCATGTCGAACCACTGGGAGGTGTCACCCTTTCTTGTGCGACGGGGGCTGTCACAAGGGGATTTAGTTGAGGTGGATGATATTTTTGGTCCATTTGTAGGATTGCTAAATTCAACAGGAAAATTTCCTTCCTTTCTTTCTTCTATGCTTCCAAAGATGGTTTCTTGTCTTCCTATTTCTTCAGATGAATTGAACATCCTTAATTTCCTGGAAGAGGTGAAAATTAAATTGGGTTGTCCTCTAATCTGCCAGCAGGACATTCGGGTTCTAAGAACAGACAGCCACCTGAAGAGGGAGGTGCATTTCTTTCAGGAGAGTTTGAACTCTTGCTGCATAAAAGATCCCCATTACTTTACTATTGAGGAAGTTTTAAAATGCCAAGAAGCATACAAAGAGGGTTATACAATTGCACTCCGTGGAATGGAGTTTCGCTTTGAGAGTCTTGCTGCCATTGCAAATGAATTAGCATCTCTCTTTGGTCAGCCATCAGTTGGTGCCAATATGTACTTGACACCACCTAATTCCCAAGGCTTGGCGCGTCATTACGATGACCATTGTGTGTTTGTATGCCAACTTGTTGGGACTAAGCAATGGAGACTTTTTCCTCAATCAAATGTGCAGTTACCTCGATTATATGATACTCTTGATCGGCTATATGATTCAGAAGTTCAGAATTCAATGGCTGAATGCAAACAATTTTTGCTGAGGGAAGGTGATATTTTGTATATTCCAAGAGGTATTCTTCATGAGGCATGCACCGAAAATATTAGTTTTGATGGATCTGATGGCTATTCCTTACACCTTACACTCGGTATCGAGGTTGAACCTCCTTTTGAGTAAGTTATGAATTGATGTTGAGAATAAAATAATATCTAATGATGATCAATTTTCTAAAATGCAACAGCCTTGGCTTATTTTATCAAATATATGCATGAAATAACTTGCAGATCCTATGCATAGTCCATGAGAGTCAAACATAGGACCATTGATTACCTGCTTACTGATCTCAAAGTTGCAACCAACTGCTCTAGTTTAGAGTCCATTCATCCTTGTATTATGAAACATTGTGCATTTGCAGATATTATTTGTTTAATTAGTTGTTCATTAAAATATTAATGGGTATGTTGTTTTGTGGCCAGTATATGATTGATAGAACATTAACAAGTAGGATGTTTATTCGGTAGATACATGATTCATTATGTTGCAGAGTATGGAGGAGGGTATGGGCAAACAATATTTTTTTTAATCATATATCAGCGACATAGTCTCTAGAATTATTTGTTTTTTCTCCTCTTAGGTGGATTTTTTTTCAGGATTATAAGGGCATGTTGCAATGACACTTGATTCAATGCCTGACCTACAACTTATAGAATAAGATCTAAATAGAGGGGATGGGTGGGCTATTCTAAATGTCTTGTGTGCATGAACATTACCTGTTTATTACAAAATATCTTGTACTTTTTTTTTTTGTATATGTCTATAATACTAATATTCTGTTTCAATACCGAGCTTGCCTATACTTCTAATACCAGTAAAAATAGGATTAATAGCATCTCAAGAATGCTCAATGAATGAGCTAGTAATTGTCTGGAGTCCTGCTAACTGTATCCCTACCCACTTTACCTCAAGACCCCAAGAGCTGTCACTGAGTCCTAAGCATTTGTGGGTACAACTTTTCTGCAGCAAGGGAATTTGATCTGTTAATCATTAAGAATGAGACTTGGGTCATCACAAGAGTTGGTCAATTATACAAACCATTGGAATTGTCAACAACTCAAGGATTTTATGTTCTGGTGAACTTTAATTCTTTGATTGACAATAGAGCTTTTTTATCTGCTTCTTTGTCTCTATGCTGTTGGTGAAGTAGATAGTCATGAAATTCTGAAATACAGCCTGTTGTGGCCTAATGGTGTCATATGGTTCAAGTTGGTATCATTGATATATCAGTGATACATTGTGAAATTATACTTGATGTTTTGATTTTAAAATTTTCTGTCTCCCCCTCTGTCCCCCCTCCACCTTCTCTCTCAGCTCATACAATTTTCAAATTTCTCCATAAAGGCCAATTTGATATTATGGTCCTTGCACACGTCAAAATAATTCTCTTACATTTTGATATGACTGTCTTCTGTATAGACTGGAAAATATTTTGATTGCCTAAAATAATTTTTCTTTGAAATATTTTTCCGAGGCTCAACAATGCATGTGGGCTGATCCACATTCGTGAACAAATCATATGGTATCGATTAGTAGACATCTTTTTCTACAAGACAGAGAGACAAGTTCTTGGACCCCATGTGCATGGAAAAGCTGATGCCTTGACATGCCTTATTTAATGTAATATTGGAGTATATTTCAATTTTTACCTTAACACTAAAGATGCGTCATAATCTACGTTACATAGAATAGTACAATGAAACTACACATACACATGCACGCATGTGAATATCGAATTGATACTTCGTGATTATTGTTTACCACCAGGCTGTGATGTGTGTGAATACTATAAGTCAAGCACACACGTATTGAAAATGTATTTTAATTTTGCTGCGATTACATCTAAGCAATCACTTTGTGAGTTCATCTCTATTTCACATAGGTTGAAGAAAGTGAAGTTGATTGTCATTCTGTTTTGAATTGAATGTGTGTACAATGTTTGGTCAAAATGTAGTTTTAATCCACTTAAGTATTGCCCATTAGACTCTTTTTTTTCACTCTTGGATTTTTTTATAAAAAACCACTTTGTTTCAAATAAATTGATAAATCTGAAATCACAAGAAAAAATAAATATATGGTGATGAAGATTAGTATTAACCCTGCTACACTCTCTCACATACTCCGCTTCTCATTTTTAAATGCAGGTGGGAGGGATTTATTCATGTTGCATTCTTCAGTTGGAACGAGAACCAAAAACAAGCTCATAATTCTTTTGAGTCTTCGTCTGGCATTATTCATGATATATGTGTGAATTTGTTGCATGCTGCCATTGGGATGGTCGGTGATTCTGATTCTACCTTTCGGAAGGCTTGCTTGGTTGCTTCAGTTTTTTCGCAATCACATACCCTTAATTGGCTTGATTTGAATCAGAGAGACATTTTTTGTCAGCTGATTGAC